CGTCCGCCGATCAACTGAAACCAACACCTCGCCGCACGTTCGTCCGCCACTTAATTTCCCCTGACCTGCGTACCTCGCGAAAATACCATCCAATCGGCTCGATCACTCGAAAACTACTCCATGTATCGCCGCTCTATCCACATGCGTCAATTTCCCTCAAACACGTGTACACTTTATGGGGGATTAACCTCGCAGGGGATGAGATTTCTTTTCAAGGAAGATGAAAACCGTTTAAGCTTGTATTCAGGTCTGACCAATTCCTCTCTTAATTACTTTCGTTAGTTAGTTAGTTATTATTTTGCACTTGCAACGTTCTCTTGTCAAATATTTTCGATGGATATGGTTGCCGAAATTCAATAGCAACTTGAGTGCCTCTTCTGTTTTTGTATATGTATAATTGTCTCTTTTACGAGAGTCTTCTTACCTTTTATATACAGCGTTTGATAGTTGTTATTTCTTGGAAAACATAGTTTCGTCGACTGGAATCACTGGAGAAATCAGTCATTCACAGTATATCAGTCATTCACAGTATGTAGTACTGCTACTTATGGTACCAGAGAATAATCCAATAAATATTAAATATTCTTGTCTTTGATAACATACTATAGTTCCCAATAGACGTCGAATGTTCCCTACAGTTTCTCGCCAACTTCTCGAAACGGAGTCCCGAGTCAGACCCTCGAGGATCATCAAACATCCCTCACATATCGTCCCACCAAACACGTCTGCAACTCACGTCGTAAACCAACTGCTATCACTCGGAAGCACAATGCTCGGACGTCCCACCAACCAGTCACGAGTTTCTCATACACGAGACTCGCGTATCAACCGGCCAAACGATCTATAAGACCATCGTTCTTTCACGTTCTTTCACGTTTCACAATCGTGTCACAAAGATTGGAAAGGAAACACGGATTTTAGAGACAGAAACATCTTGAACGTATCTCAAGGCCTTCGATCTTAGTTTAAGCGAAGCCAGGCCAGGCCAAGCCAAGCAAAACCGAGCTAGACTATCCAAAGAATCCTGAATGGAGAACGGACAACAGCGATCGTGGCCGATTTCGGGATAAATCGAGTGGTCCAGGTGAAAGTGTATTCGACGAGTCGCGTGACGGTTGGCTAGCACGTGACACGGCGTGGCCGTGTGTGACGTGGAGACGCGGAGGATAACGGCCACGTTACACCTGCTGCCAGTGCCACCCGGTGTGACGTTCTGGCCTGGTCTGTGTACCAGGGTGCTACTGGGGATTGCCGTATGCTTGTTTTTGCAGGGCTGCCAGCGGCGCGCGAGCGAGACCTCGTCAGTGGGGGTGGACGAGAGAGATAGGAAGAGTCTGTCTGTGGCGAGAGGAGCAGGGACACGTGAAACGAACCGAGATCGACGGTTGGTGAGCGCGACGGGGATGAAGATCGGCGAGGAACAGGGATACGAAGAGATGGTCGACCTGCAAGAGGGACAAAGAGGATCGCACGTAGGGGAAATGGACGTGGTGGTGGTGGTCAACGAGGAAGAGAGACGAGCCTAAGATCTAAGCTAAAGAGAGACACTTGGTTGAACAGCTGAAAGTAGAGGGGCGAAAACACAGGAAAGAATGAACTGACTGTGCAACGCGACACGAGAACACAGCCTGCTAGGTTGCAGAGGGGAAACGCTCGTGGGAACGAGACGGAACATTCGTCTCGCCCCCACCAGGCGAAGCTCTCG